CCCCCCCCCCCCCCCCCCCCCGCCCCTCCAGGACTTCCCCTTTGGGCCAGGGCTGGGCCTGCGGAGGGCTGGCTCCGCCCACCCTTTGCGACACTCCCGCCGAGCTCGCTCGGTCGGGTCCGGCGGTAAAATCCGGATCTTTCCACCCTTCCCTCTCCGCAAACCGGCGAGGTCAGTCTTTCCCGCCCCCCTTTCCAACCCCCCCCTCCGGTCTCCAGTGACCTTCAAACGCTCTGGTCGCCTAATAGGGTTTTATAAAATGGATTCTTCTTAATGTCAGAAAGTCTGTGGAGACCTGCAGTAAATGTGTTTTTAAAATCAAAAGGTAACGAACGGCCCGGATAACTTGGCGATCCTCCAGCAGCCAAGCCACATTTAAAAAAAAAAAAAAAAAAGTCACGTGATAGGCTTAAGCCTTGCAGCCAGGATTTTTAACTCGGGGCAGAGAGAGGCGGGACTCCATCGCCACTTCCGGCCCTTAGAGCGTGACTCAACGTCACTTCCTTAGCAATGCACTTTAACCCTTGCTAGCCTCGTTTTCTGTGCTGTAGTTTATAATCCAGTCATAGTGAAAAAAGGGAATAACTCGTTCGCTGACCGCGGAACCATTAACCTCCAAACGATCCGCTAAGGTTCAAGCCTGCGCCGCGCGGCGTGCCTGGGGAGGAGAAGCAGGGTGGAGCTTGAGGTCACATGACTGGCTAGGGCGGACCCGCCCCTTGCAGCTGAAGACTTCCCCTCCCTCAGTGACAGAGCTTCTGGGTCCGGTCTGGGTACTGGTCTGCACTTCGCGCCGCGGTGGGTCAGGTGCGACAGGTAACTGGCGACCTGGGGACGATGGACGGGCAGAGAGGAGACTGGGGACTGGGGAATGTGAACCGCGGTCTGCGATGCTTGGGGCTCCTTTCCCCTTGTCATCCTTGCATGGGCTAGGGGCTCCTTCCTCTAGATCTCCTGGACCCCTGGCCGGTCCCCGTAGTTGACTGACGAGGGACTAGGATGCCCACCTTTCTCTGGGTTGAGAGCGAATGCGGCCATTATGGTTCCCTATTTGGAGTCTTTGTGGCTTCAGGTGATAGGGTTGCTTTAACCATTATTCGGGGTTTGCAACCACCTCCGGGTCCCAGTCCCCAAAGCTCCGTCCTTGGCAAAGGCCTTCGCCCCGCTGAGCAGGAAGACAGGAAAACCTGCTGGAGGCAGAGGCGTCTCCGGTGAGACAGGCTTGGGAGAGAATGTCTCTGCCACGGCCCTCATTGCGGAGTCACTGAAGAGCTTCCCTACGAATGTGCGTTCTCGGTGATTCCAAGGGATTTATCGGGTATCCTTGCAGAGAGGTGCAGTGAGTGTTCACTTGCTCTGAATGAGTATGGGAGGGTAAGAGCGGGGCTTATAGCTTTTCCGTCTCGGAGAGAAGGCGGTTGTACTATCTTCAGAACAGGGTGTTTGGTAATGCGACAGTCTCAGTTGAATGGGAAGACGATGAAAGATGGTGTTGCCTGGTTGGGCTGCAGACCTAGGCTAGCTTATGGGAAAGTGATGAGGTTTTCCCGAAAGGGAAGTAATTCTTCAGAAACTGATCAAGCTGGAAACATAATTGATCCAAATTCATTTGGCTATAATTTGAAAGCAGGAAGATTAAGTCTAGATACTACTGACTTCGTATTTTCTGCCCGTGGCATCATTCCCCTTTTGGACGTTTTTTTCTTTAAATCCTAGATAATTGTCCCTCCCAGTCAATTCTTGGCCAGTTTAAATTTATGAAATAACACTAGTTTTTTTTCAATTAGCCTTTGCATTAAAAAAAAAATTCAAATGACCCCTTCTGGCTTGGTATATAATACAGGGATTATTTTGCCTAGGGTTGCCCAACCATTTGTACTCCATTTTATATACATGTAGTAGCCAATGTTTTCACCTCAAATAATGAGCTTTAGGAAAGGAATGTTTTTCAGTTTGTGGCTAAACTCCTTTATTTGTTGTGCAAACTAGAAAGTTCCTTGTTTTAAATTGGAAGGCCTTACAAAACTACACATTTGGCTTTTATAACCTAGCTTATACATTTTCTTATATGAAATCAGATTTTTAGTTAATCTTAGTTCTAAACAATATGATTGAAGAATCTATTTTTCAAAATCTGCAGAGTACTTGTAACACGGTTCTTCCCTCGTCACATGCTTGAGGGGCTGCGTCCAGTTCTCAGTACTAAAAGGAAAAGAAAATAGGGGAAAGATGGAATGGTTATCTTACAGGGATCGGGCAGACTGAATTTTTCCCCTCCCAAAGTTTTTGAAATTGCATGACCTTTATTTTTTAACAAGAGCTAAAAACTAAAACAAAAAGATAGTAATTTAACAAAATAGGAAGACTGGCCTGATACTTCTTACTAAAAATATCTGGATGATCTTGTACTGCCCAGAAAAATCATATTCGTTTTTGTATATGTATTTACAATTTTACCATTCTGTGATCTATACCAGACAATAGCTATCGATGTGTTTATATAACAAGTATAAATACAGACTCTTAAACAGTTCTTTCCTTTTCATTGCTCGTCATTATTCTGTGGTATGGGTGGCACCACAGTTGGCTCAACCATTCACCTGTTGCCATTTTTATTTGCATGTTTGTGCACGCCTGTGGGGGCCAGAGGTGTCTTCCTCTGTTCTTCCCCACCCCCACCCCTTTGCTCACTGATTCAGCAAGCCTAGCCAGCCAGCAAGCCCCAGGCATCCTCCTGTCCACATTTGCCCCTGAGCACGGAGGTTAAAGAAACACCAACTCACTTCACTTTTACTTGGGATGCTGGGGAGCCGAACACGGATTTTTATGCCTGCAAAGCAAGCACTTTCGTGACTGAGCCATCTCCTGAAATACAGCTTTAGCCATTATTTTTCTCCAGAATGAGGTTCCCTGATCTCTTGAGGAGAGGGGAAAAAATGGTGAAATGGTGTGCTTTCCTGCCCATGTGACATTTTACCAAATAAACAGAATTCCTAAGTGCTTTTGAAGTCCAAACCAGTCTGTGCAGGTGCACCAAAATGGACTGGAGAAAACCAGTTTAAAAGCCCTGAGTACTAGAGGAGGAGAAGTTCATAAGAAAGAGATGGGATGAGTCTGCAGTTTTATTTCACAATGAATCGCTCCAATTTTAGGGAACTCGTGAAAGCAGTAACTTAGACTATTGATGAAATCTGGAAGATTCAGAGCAGGATTTGGTGATTAAATAATAATGGAGAGTAAATAGGAAAAGGTTTGACATTATATGCACACAGATGATAAGGATTGGAAGGCATTTTTGCTGCTGTGTAGTTTATGAGATTTCTGTGTGTGTCTGGGTGTGGTGGTGCATGCCTTTAAGGCCAGCCTGGTCTATAAAGAGATTTCTAGGCTAGCTAGAACAGTGAGAACATGTTTAAAAAGGGGGAGAGATTTATATGCAGACATTTATTTGGGGAATGAGCCCTCCATTAAGTAATATGTAAAAATCACACACACACACACACACACACACACACACACACTG